GAAACAGTTTTGTTCAAAACTCGCAATTCCGTGTTACTCGCGGATAACGGATAACGTTATGCCATATACATAATATTATATTATATTCATATGACATTGGGAGCATGGCTGTTATAACTATGTGGTTTTAACCCCAATCGAAAGCCTCATCGTATCGTCGCTGATCAAATTTAATAATATTTCAATAGTAGATAATAAATTGCACGTTTGTATAATGCACGTTTCCGGCGTATTATTATTACAATGTTATATTACTATTTTCCAGGATTATTTTTGTAATTCATTGCGGGCCCGTAACCGAATCGTTTAAGCGTAATAATATTATTATAATATACATTGTGTAGAACACTACAACTGTAATAACGGTTTCGAATCGCTGACACTCGGCTGATAGTTCTTTCGCAGTGGGTATTTGATTATTGATATTGGATATGCGCGGTGTATTTAATGCATATTATAAACGTGAGTATAGTTTATCGCATATACATATTGCTCATAAACATATTATATAATACTTATTATATCATACGGGATATGGCCCTTATGATACGGTTTCGTCCAGCATAAAAATTTACTACGTACTTACTGCGAAATACATGATGTTATTACGTTTATCGGACCGAATAGTAATAAATTGAAGAGTGAAATATCCGATTTATAGCCAACTGTAAATTATCAAATTTAATTTTGAGTTTAATGATGGCTATACGTTCAATAATTTTAAGGAGACGTGCGTTAGTTGTATATTTACCATTTACATAACGTCACCTCCTATGTAACGGACTATATACGTTTAGTAACTTTATTAATTTAAATAAAGCGAGCTGCCTAAAACATATAAGTTGTCATACGACACAGTATACTGTAATTATTACGCGTATACACGAGTCGTATGGACAGCCAAACAGGGAAAAATATTTAAAAAATATTGATAGTAATATTAACAATACAATATGGTAGTGTTTAACCACATAATTTTTCAGGTAGAAAAAAAATAAATTAAGTTTGAATAATAATGTGAAAGGGATAATAATTACAAGTAACATTTATTACAAATAGAGATAGAAGTTTATTTTATGCAATCTATTATTTAAAACTGAAAGTAAAATTTATTATAGATTTTGTAATGTGATCCCGTGTGTTTTTAAGAAGTATACCAATAGTGGATATGTCATAGGTACTTAAAAATATTTTCATTACTTTTTATAATTAATATTTTTAAAGTTTTGAAATTTTTAATGACAACACGAATTGTTTATTCTTTAGCCAAATTAAATCAAGTAAGAACATTTTTTTGAATTATTTGATATATAAGTAACGGTCGAATATAGGACAAGTAGTTTATGAGTTATAACTGCTATAATTGTTTAAAGTTAAACACTAAGCAGAGTCGTGTGGTATAAGAAAATAATAATAAATGTTGGTCTACTACTCTAATAATTTATTATGTATTAAATATACTTATGTCTTATAGATAATAACACTTATAAGTTATAACTAATGAACTACTTGTCTCAAATTTGATATTTGTAAATAAAATTACACCAAATATAATTATTGTGATTCAAAATATGAAATTAAAAATGTTTGTTGCCATCGAAATAGTAAAACAATTCAAAATGATAACGATAAAAACATAGTAAAAATTATTTTAAAATTATCAAATTATTTAAGAAGAAATATTTTTTTTCAAAAATGATAATATTTTTTAAAATAATTAGTGTCTTAAATTAAATTAATTAATTCAATAAATAAATTAAGTCTATAGGGATAAATAAAAAAATTATATAATAGAAAATTGGTCTTATAAATATGTTATATAATTTAAAATTAAAATTTAGTAAGCATAGAAGATAGTTGTCATGCATAACATAGTAGGTACATACCTTTTTACGAAGTTTTTACACTTATAATATACACCCTTTTGTACTTTCATTTGTAAATAGGTCTGTATAGTGAAGCGATTTTTATACACTTCACTGATTGTTACTAATTTATAACAACGTAAGAAAATACACATAATATATTATCTACACTGATTCGTAGACGTTCAATAATATAAAAGCAACAGTTATTATGGAAATGTTTTTATCATATCTATGTTTTATTTATGTTGGTGTACTGTTTTTGTCCACGACAGTATCCAAAACATTATTTTCAAAATAGAAGTATTCACGTAATTCATATCCAATGCAATTTGGGTACTTAATAGTAACGGGAAATAGAGTGTACGATTTGGCGAATTTCCTTTATATATTTTATCTCACGTACGATTTGTAAAATGTCACTTTCATCTATCGATGTTTTTCAAATATAATGACCACAATGTATGCTATTCAGTAAAAAGTATTACTGGTATTATTGATATACATAAAAATATGAGTAAAATAAAAAAAAGCAATGGACGTTTAAATAAGACTATTTTTTTGATAAAAAAAAAAAAACGCATTAACGTCACTGCATAGGTCGTTATAATTCTGTTAATAGAGGATGCTAACAAGGTATTATGTAAAGCGTTAGACTTTATTACGTTAATGAGAAAAAGTACTGATAAGTATTCTCGTAGTTTATTTATCGGATAATCGCGTAATGGACAAGATTGCGCGAACGCACAGATATTACTTTTAAAACATGAACGAATTGTCCAAACCATTTAATGTACGAACGCTCATTAATCTCTGTCAGAATTTTGATTGAACTGTATCGTTATTTGTACAGACGAGTGAATTGTTGTACGTCTGCGTTAGACGTATGATGATTAAAGGACAGTAAAAAAAGAGGAGGGATAAAAATATTCTGATCAGGTGGTTGTGGCTGTTGTTCACGCTAAACTGTACGTATACATTAAAATATATTAATTTGTTAAATAACAACATTTTAAATAGATTTTTTTTTTGAAATCCTGATCAATCAAACTGTTATCATTATTTGATTTTTTTTCCAAATAGCTATATGTACAATATTATGCCTAGCAAAGTGGCAACAAAATAAAAATATAATATGACGTACCTATAATACTGACAAAATGAATAAACAACAAAATAACAATTTACCTATATTTTTGAACGGAAATTTAAGTAAATATTAGTTTATTTCAACTGTATGCATATTTTAATATCCGCTGTATGGGTAATATACCACTATAATGTGTTTTGGAATTAATTTAAAAACTAGTTTTTGTGCTTTATGAAGTCAACAAAAGTTATTCAACATTTAAATATTTTAAAGTCCCTGCTAAAAAAACTTCAAAACAGTTGTATTATTATTTATTTACATGTCAACCATGGGATTTTTTTGGTAATTTCGCAAGACTGTTAAATTATTTCAAACAGTTTTACTAAATGATGTCATGAAAAATATACATAATGTTTTAAAACAAATTTATACTTTCAAGTTCTAATATGAAATATTATAACAAAAAGTGACTCGGTAATTTTCCACGAATGTATAAGTATGAGTTTTTGAAGAAAAATGAATATCTTATATTTGTATAATGTATATATTAGTGATATTACTAATGATGCTTAAATTTTAGCTACAATCATTTTATATCTATTCAATAGGTACAATAAAAACAGTATACATGGATATTGTGTGTTATACCAAGACTAGATTATCATAATTATACCCATGATTATAAACATTAAAAGGGAATAAGATATTAAATAATATTATATTACACTAATGGCTTTACTGTGTACGAATACAAAATTAATTTAATAATGTTTATTGACAGTTTAAAGAGTTATAATAATATTAAATTAATAATTAAATGAAAACAGTTAATTTTTAATATAAACATAAAATAAAACCACCAGTACTCAATATCTAGTCGAAAGATATCAAAAAAACAATTTTAAAATGAGCTTAAACGGGCTCTCGACTAAGATAAAACAAATTGTTCTAAATAGATGCAAAATAGCTGACACTAAAATCTTATTCACTGATAACTGCAGATCATTAAGGAACCTAAACTATCTTGAGATACACGCAAAATACCGCTTACAATTGAATACATAATTACCCATTGCCCAAAAATGCTTAACAGAATGCTATTTCTTTAACAATCCAATACCATCAGAAGAAGCTCTCAATCAATACAACGCTGAGAATATACGAGTATTTAAGTTTTTCAAATACTTCACTTCTATTTTGATAAAAATAAATATATTTTATACAATTTAAACCAGTAATAATGTATTAATTTCACATTATAGAGGCAAATAATCAATCTCAATTAACATTAAGTAAAAAAAAAAAAAAAAAAAACTAGTAATAACGTTAAGGAATAAAAACAATATTATTAAAATATTTATCAGATTATAAATTCTCAATAATTAGTATTTTTTTTCACATTTTAAAATTGATAAATATACAAATTTTGTACACTTAATATTATATAGTAGATAATATTACATATTATACATACTTTACTAGGCAATACGTAGTAGTAAGTAATTTTTTTTTTTAATTTTATCAATAATTACATTTAAATTATATGATTTATAAGTGCTCACAAAAAAAATATCATAGTTGTAATTTACAAGAAAAATTTTTTCCTGATTTTTTTTTATGTAATCAGAATATTTTTTTTAAAATTTTGATTAAATATTGTATATATTATATATATATATATATATAAATATCAACAGTAGATAAGTGTTATTTATATAAACTCATATATATATTATGTGCATACAAAATTTGATATTTCATCTCTGAAATGTTGCTAAGTGCAGTATAAAGTTTCATAAAAGGTTTTAAATGATGTCCAGTATTTCAAGACCAATGATTTATACGATGAAATATAATAAATAATCATTTTCAATAAAACGAACTAATGAATGTATGTCAGTCATATGTGTATACATTAAAACGTATCATAATGATTTATGTGAAATTTTCCTGAAAAAAAAAAATAAAAATAAATCGTTTGTTCGTATCAATGTTGACCATTTTAAAACAATAGTTTAAACAAATAAAACTCGCCAATATATAAGCTTCAAAATTCGTTTCATTTAGAACACTAAACGAATTATCATGGACACATTCAGGACATTGTGGCTCTTTATAGGACTGCTTGTAGTCGGGTAAGCTTCAATATTAAAATAGTCATTATAAAATTAAACTTTAATATGCGACTGCTTGATAATATTAATAAGTAATAATATGTTCATAAAATAATTGTATAAAATTGAGATAAATTATATAATTGTATTATTATTTGTTTAGTTGTATTACAATAAAACTTAAGATAATTTTGAAATTGGTTTTCATTTTTTTTTTTTATCAAATAAATTTGAAGATTAATTAACAAACACAAAAATTGACAATTTATATCATTATGTTAATGAGTAAACTTTGTCATATTACATTAAAAGTTAATTGCATCTATTTGCGCTAGTTAATTAAGTAAATAAATACTTTTTAATTAATAAATATATAAAATGTAAATTTTACATACGTTTTAACATTATAATGTGTACACATTATTTTATATTACATATATTATGCTTAATAATGTAATATTATTTATCATTACTATGAATTTAAGTTAAATAAGTTTCTTAAGTTTAATAAATAGTGTTAAAAATATAATTTAATATTTGCATATCTTTTTTTGCTTCCTAAGAAATATAAAAATTCAGTTTTTTATAATATTAAATCAATTGAAAGGTACTTTTGGTAGTTTTCACGGCCAGTGCTTATATTTATACGATTTCGTATGTATTTTATTTAGAAGAGATATAGTATAACTATATATTCTGCTAAGTAAGCATATAGTATCTTTTATAACTATATCTTAAATAAATACCAATATTTGTAATATTTATTTATTATTTTACTTTCTAGAGATTTTTGTGATATACCTATACAATATACATATTAAGTTATGTTTTTGAATAACATACTTTAAATTAAAAGAGCAAAAAAATAAAAATGCATTAATTAAATATTTGAAGTTTTATTTTAATATATTTGACAGTATCAAATATTTATGTATCTGTTTTCCAAAATATGTAAAACGTATTATACTTAATATATTCATAACTTTATAAATAACATAAATAAAATATATTTATGTACATATAAATATAGTGCTAACTCATATTTATGTGTCTTCACATAACCTGATTCTATTTTTTAACTTCCATAAATTTATAGAAATGAGACATTTAAAAAATGTATTGTCTTATGTGAGAAATATAAGATGTTATTTTGCATTTAAAATGTTTTTGAATATTTTAATAATTTTTAGTTTTCGTATTAAATGTCAATAGTATAATTTATATTGTATTAATTATTAAAGAACTAAAAATTATTGGAATTGTGTAATAAATACTATGATAAAATATAATTAATTTATTATGTATTTTATTTGATTTAAGCTTGGAAAATGGTGTCCAGTCATATAATTTACCAATGGGTAAAAAAGAGCTTGAAAAGAGTGGGTCAGGAAGAAATGTTAACAGTGTTACAACTACTCGTTCCGTGGTAGTCGAAAAAAAAACCACCGTTTTCAAAAAAAAATGCTGGTCAGATTTAATATTAGATAAAAAAACGAGTATAAACACATTAGAAATGTGTCAGAAATATGGTTATAACGTAGAAGGTTTGTACGTCATACCAGAATTTTTGAGACTCCTTAATTCACTGAACCGGGAACAATCTATTATGGCATCTAGAATTACTTATCCCAGAGATTACAGTCTGTCTATCAAGAACAATGATGAGTTTGATATTATCATAGTGGGTTGTGGAGCTTCAGGATCGGCCTTGGCTGCTAAACTTAGTGACGAGAAGAATTTGAAAGTCCTTGTACTGGAGGCTGGAGGTACACCACTCATGCAATCTGAGATACCCGGACTCTGGGCCAATTCAATCGGTACCGAGATGGATTGGAACTATAAAGCAAAAGAGGATGAGACGTTTGGTCAGAGTTTAGAAAACAAATGTGTTAATATTATTCGGGGAAAATGCTTAGGAGGAACTACGGCTTTAAATACAATGTTGTATGATCGAGGAATAATATCAGATTATACTAAATTTGAAACGGCAGGTTTAACCAAATGGAGTTGGGAAGATGTTTTGAAATACTATAAACGTTCAGAAGACTGTAAGTTCGAAAAAATCACCACACACGAAACAGTTAGTAGTTTACATAGTAAAGGTGGTAAACTGAGTGTAGATTCATTCCGCAACACGAGAACTGTTGAAATCAGACAGGTCTATTCTAAGGCGTTAACCGCAGTCAACTATAATACATTAGACTTTTTCGATGTAAAGAACCATCAAGGTTTCGTTTCATCTGTCGCAATCATTAAAAACGGTTTACGTGTGAATGCAGCAAAAGCCTTTTTGAGAAATGCTGACAAAAGATACAATCTAAGAATATCAGCTAAATCTTTTGTCAAAAAAGTATTATTTGAAGATAAAAAAGCTGTAGGCGTAGAGTTTGAAAATTCCATTGGAGAAGTAATTCAAGTTAAGAGTAAGAAGAACGTTATATTGAGTGCTGGTCCAATAGGATCTCCAAAACTACTCTTAGAGTCAGGAGTTGGGCCAAAATCTTTACTGGATTCGTTGGGTATTCCCGTAGTCGTCGAGAATAATAACGTCGGTTTGAATTTACAAGCACATCCAAACTTCTTAGGTATAGTAGTTAAATTTGAAATGCAGCCGATCAAGTCATATTCTATTAGTGAAATGGTCTTTGAATACTTAATGAAGCATACCGGACCGCTGGCCACAATAGGATTGTGCAGTTTTACCGGTTTTATAGATATTGATGGCAATGGTATTCCGGACATTCAAATATTATTTTATTATTATTCTGAGGATGATACTGTATTCATGCCTTCACAATTGGATGCTTTCAACTTTAACGACAACATCACAGAACAGATAATTGACATTAACGATGAGAACGATATAAAACTCATCGGTATTTCACTGCTTAGTCCAAAAAATACTGGTAAAGTGACTATAAAAAAGACTTGCGATGGCGATGAGTATGAACCGATTATAGAATACGGCTCTTTGGCAACCGAGGATGTTGACACGCTAGTGAAAGCTATTCATTGGGTAAAAAATCTTATACAATCTGAAGCGTTCAAACCTTATGGACCACAAATCGTCCCTTTAAAAATCGAGGGTGGCCCGGAACCGGACGTGGACAGCGATGAATATTGGAAATACGCTATCAAACATTTGACAATTATGAATGTCCAGATGACTGGAACATCCTCCATGGCAACAGATCCTTCGAATGGCGTTGTAGATGAAGACCTTAACGTCTTTAATACCGACGGTTTGATGGTCGTAGATTCTTCTGCACTCCCAATAATGTTCAGTGCTGAAAGTTGTGCTCCATCCATTATGGTTGCAGAAAAGGCTTCTGATATAATAAAGACAAAATTGGGATGCAATGACAACGACGAAGAAGAAAAATAAGAACCGAAGGAATATGCTGAATACATTTACGTACCAACCTATGAAATTCATATTTTAAGTTAAACAAGAGAACTTGATTCCTAATGAATGTTGTAATACATGTTAACAAAATATAATTAATTATACAGTGAGAATATAAAATATCATATTATGACATAAATATTTGCTGAAACACATTTTTATCCATGAAATTGTATAAGTACTGTGATACTATGTTTACTATCATCATATTTTTAGGTATTTAAAATTTATAGAGAAGTAAATTTTGGTAAAAACAATTTAGTTGACCAAGTCAGATGATAAAGTCATATGAAAAAAAATGCATAAAACTAATGGTTCAATACTTAATAATAAGAACTACTTGTAAAATATTTGAAAACTATAAAAATATCTTTTATTAATGATCATTTGCTCATTAAAGTTTATTTAAATTTTGTCTGTAATTTTAATTATTTTAATTTCAATAGCTTTGATTCAGGACTATAAACAATGTGAATAAACATTAATTATTTAAAAGTGGTAGTTATAGCCTATAAGTAAGGAAACAGAAACTTCATTAACGTATTACTTTAAGAAATGGTAAGTTGCACCTAATCCTTTGATGGTCAAATGAATCTTAAAAGCTATAGGCTGTGTTTGAAATTACTTGTCATTAAAATGATAATAAAACATTAATATTTAATCTAAATAACAACTATAGGTAGGCACTAATTTAAATTTGATGAAAACATTATTGAAATATTATTTGATTTCAAAGTAAAAAAAAATGCAGTTGTATCGACGACGATTTATTCCGAATAAAAAATAATGATTTAAGGTTAATCTATATTTATTGGAGATGACTTGAAGGAAACTACTATACACGATTATAATCCATCCATGCGTTTATCTTTTATGTAGTATCAAACCAACCGTTTCTAAATGAGACTTCCCTCTGTTCATTAAGCTCTACTGCTCGTATACGCAAATTTAATTATTACAGACTGACGACTGCGGAAGATTCTGGTTCGAGTAAAACTGTCCAATTCCAAGGGGAAAAAAACACGTAGTTACTGTCAAGGATTCTATAAGAAGTTACGCATGTTATAAGAATGGCTTCGCTATTTTATTTTATTTTAATTTTTTTCGTTCTTTTACTATTCATTTACGACAATCTAAAATTATTATATTTTATTTCGATAAAAGTAGTCGGATATTTTACTTTCGGGCAAAATAACGAGTGAAATGCAATTTATGTAATGGATTGCGAATACAATATAAGCTTTTATATTCGTTTGAAGTATTTTTTATAATAATAATAAAAAAAAAAAAAAAATGTATAACATACATAAAATAAAATAAAATAAACCATTAACTATTACGCCGTTGCTAATGTTGAATAGATAAACGTTTGAGCAAAAAGAAAAACATTAATATCATGTACACGAAAAATATGTATAGAATATTATATTGCATAGTATTTTAAAATGAATACGACTAATAATTTTTCACGTGGCTGTACGTATTTAGGTCATAACATAAGTACTTATAACGAATAGAAATATATTTTCCGAAGATAATATGAATGGATTTATTGTAACAATAATAGCTATATATTGTCAATTTATTAACTACCTACTTATTATTATTCTTATAACTATGTTATTATCAGACACACAAGCGGTCCAGGTATGTGATAAATATTGAAGCCAATTATTTCCTTTTGGTACCAGTATTATATAAAGTAAATTTGCACTGTGGTCTGTGAACTGATTTATGCATTTTTATTTATTTATTTATTGAAATTGTGGACTGATAGCTCTACGAATACATCACAAGAAACATAAAATATTAGTTTGAAAAAAAAAATAATATAATGTTAATAAGAAACAGAAAACAACAAAAATTAATAAGCTAATATAATATTTTATATAGTAGCAATAAGCAATAATAGTCATGATCTTAGAAATTAATAAAATAAAAATCTTTGTAGACTTTGTATTTTTATCAGTTTTTAATGAACATTGAAATAAATTCTTTGAAGTAAAAGTTTAATAATAATATGTTTTAATTATAATTATAAATATCATTTGTTTGATGTAAATAATTGTACCGGAGACAACAAAAATAACAATAATAATATAGCATAGACGTACACTCGTATAAATAGTAATTATAAACATATATGATCATTACCGAGCAGTGAATTATATAGTCAAGTATATATTTAGATTGGTCACTTGCAAGAGTGCTATATAAACTGAAGGGGCTAGAACTGCGGTGCTATACTTAGATTTATACGTTATTTGAATGCTATACGGGCCAATGTAATCCGCAATTTTGGTTAAGTCAAAATTATTCGGATAAGATCGATCTTACCCTATCTCTGATATTACCCATAGGAAATGTAATAAGCGGTTAATCTATGTAGGTAACATTATTATCAGGATAAACATAACATTAACCATAAGAGGTTTTGATTAAGTAGGATAGTGGATAAGGGATGGCAACATCGTTGTATATAATTATTATTACATCTATGCTGTTTGTAATAGTTTTGCAGTATAGAACATAAGTATATAGATAATTGTAATTAATAAATTATACTGTTAAAACATTTGGCGCAAACAGTTTTAAATTGCAATATAAGTGTAGGTAGGTATATATCAGCTATTTGAATGCGCCAAATTATGTTTATGCTTTGCAACAAGAAAATGTAGTTATAATTATAACACAAAGAACACGTGTGAATCATTTTTAACCATATTTTTGGAATTATTGTTAAACAATTATAAAACTCTTTAAAGGCGTATTATAATAAAATACCTAAATTAATTATCTAAAAAAAATCTGCCTACACCGTGCCTATATTGTATTTAACACAGTAATTATTGTGAGTACATTTATGGCTACCATCTATGGACACGGCAAAGTATTGAAGTAATAATTTTGAAATAAAATAACTTTATGTTTGAAATAACACAGTTTATAATTTATGAAGATACAAAATATCCATATTCATTATCATTAATGACACTATTATTCATTTAACTATCATAACTTTGAATATTGAATATTTTACTGTGTAATTACAAATGTACAGTTAACATGATATTATGACACTATACTTTTGTTGATCTGACTATTTAATTTATTTTGAATTTTGATTCTTGAAATACTAGTAAGTAGTAACACTTGATTGATCAACTAAAAAGTTATGAAAATATTTTATGATGTTAGAGGGAAATTGAAAAAAATAATATCTACCTAGCCTCGTTTATTATTTGATAACTATAGATGGATAAAATGTAATATTTTATTCATTTTGACAACGAATTTTTATAAGCAGATAAATTTGAATCTTATAAAATAATCATATATTAATCAGTTCACATACCTATTAATTTCAAATATTCGTGCAGACGCACCTATATTATGTATTCACTATTCATAGATGAATCATAACTTCATTTTTTTTTTTTAGATTTTGAACGAAAACATTGTATTTGTGTGCTTCAAAAATTTTGATTTTAACTTTAAAAGTAGTTTGTGGTTGAAAAATGAATTTATATAGTTAGTGCGTTGAGGAGGGAACATTTAATTTAAAATCTCACATATTTAGAAGAACTATAACAAATTAAAAATATTAAAAATTTATGATCAAGGTTTTTTTTATTTATTTACATATTTATACGTTGAATATATTTCTAAAAATAACAAAAATTTCCAAATTGTTTTATAGCTAAAACTTCTAAACATATGAAAATATTATACTAATTACTCAATTAATATAAGGCTCGTTCAAAAATTGTATAAATCTTAAAATCTTAGAATATATTTGTATCATTTTTTTTTTTTTTACAGATATTTCAAGTTCAAATTTTAAAAAAAATTGAACATTTTAATGAAAAATAACGATTTACGCTGGTAGTGATTTATAAGTCACACAGTTAGTTATGAAATAATATTGTAATAATTATTATATTTTACATGTGTTTTGTAATAAAAAAAATGGTTTAATTTACTGTATTACCAATAATATAAAAAATTAATAATAGGTGACAATAAGATATCTAGAGAAATATGGCTGACGAAAAGTCTCCATATAGAAAAATTTTTTTTTTAATCGTATTCAACGATAGGTTAGATAAATTCAACAATTCAAGTATTACGCAAGTATTAAAATGACCTATTCATGCACGAAGTACTCTTGACACCTACTATATACCAGAGCGACTTTACTGGATTTTTTTTATTTGATGATAATATTATTAATTAAAAAATACATTTATTTAAATATTTTTGCAAAATTATATTACATAATACCTGTATAGTAAAAAAAAAAACAAAAAAATTCACAAATGACCTTTGAGAAAAATGACAAATATTGCTAAGATACGCGATTGTGTCATTTAAAATTAAAGTGACATATAGTTTTCTTCATTTTAATTACATCGCTTTTATTTTGTTTGAGCTTTAGCCAAATATATTCTGGATTTTAAATAGCTTTTAGAAATTATCTCCATTTAATTAAATATAAACATACTCAATAATTTAAATTACGTTATAAATTTGATATTTTTTCTCGCGTATCATATATGATCACATACAATATACATAATATATAAATGTAAGTCAAATATTATATAGGTTTACATTTATTTTATACAGGTCGTCCAAAATGTATAATTCAATGAATATTTTATCGTAAAAATAGTGAAGTTAGCAATTCTCACGTTTTAACCTTTACTTTTTTTTTTTTTCATTTTGCCCATGACTATTTATGGGGACATTTCGATTTCGTTGGTCACGCGTTCGTATAATAAGCGCTTAAAGATGGCGATCTTTCAATAAAAAAAAATAATAAATAAATAAATAATAATAATAATATATAAAAATCCACGGAGAGAAAGAAAATAGCTCCAAAAAGCTATAAAAACCATTCGGTACGCTGGGCCAATAATCGACGCCTCCATTAGAAAACCTAAATATGACAGAAGAAACTCATAAAAATAAAAACTAAAAAAACGTATATCGACAACAGAAATCGTTTGGTATACGTCATTTCGGAAATAAATAATATCAATTGTACATAATATAGTATTGTTATTTTAGCGGAGCGGAGCAAAAAAATTACAAAGTAATACCTGTAGAGATTGAGCCATCGAAAAGCATTTGTTCGA